TTTTTTTACATAACTTAATGAAATAAATAATAATTATTCTTATTATAAAAAGTACTTTATTATAATAATGTTATTATATTATAATATTTATTAAATTAAGTATTCTTATTAAAATAAATATTCTATTCATAATCTTTTGCTCTTTAGCTGGAAAAATTGCATTTACCCCTTTAATACTTTTTTTTACAGAATCTTTTTTGATAACATTCACTTATGATAATAAATCTTTCTCTTTTTTTAAAGGTATTTGCAAGTTTATCTCAGAATAAAATTACGCTGACAAAGCATACCATTAGTGATTGCACTCAGAAAGATGCTTACGAGTCTCGTAAACAATTTACAAAAGTTATCGAAGAATACTCAATCAAAACAAATCAGTTTTTAATTGATGAAAGCATTGATGTTTTTTCTTTGAACAGTATTCCTCCAAAAAATCAATTAATCAAATGGTCTAACGAAATATTACTACGCAAAAAAATTGCATTAGGCTTCCATTTTGTAGAATGTAAGTTAGGAATTTTTACCTATAAAAGTATGCAGCATATGATTACCCTTCATAGAATTCAAGAAAGTAAATTAGCCGTTGAACAAGAAATAATATGGTTAAATTCTTCAAAGTTGTTACCAAAATCTATCAATACATATCCTCCCGAATATTTAATTGATAAATTTAAAGATTAAAAATTTACTGTTTTTATTGATAAAACAGAGAAATTTCATAATCTGAAATTTCTCTGTTTTATCAATAAAAACAGAGAAATTTCAGATTATGGAATGACACCAAATACGTTAGCTGAACTCTGTTGTTCCAGATGGCTATCATCTGATCATATGCTTCTAATTTGAAGCATTTTAAACTCTTTTCAAAATGATTCCTTAGTAATTTACTTTAATTTTGTTGGAAATATTGAACATTTTATTTCACGCATAACTACTGTTCCTGAAAAATTAATCTTTATTGTTAATATTGGCAAAAACAATGAGAAAACCTTTACTGGCACAAGTATCAATCCAGGTTGTCATTGGTCATTTGCAGCCTATAATAATACAGAGTGTAATTTTTACTACGGAGATTCATTAGGTTGGATAGCTCCAGAAGATTTTTTGTTAAAAGTGGATCTATTAATTAAAAAGTTATATCACAATAATAAAACTTTCAATATGATATATTGCCATGATCCAATTACTCATAAGTATGGAGGTAAGCTGTGCAGTTCTTTGTGCAAAAGAAACTATCCTTTACAAACATGTGGAGATATATGTGGAGTGATAACAGTAGTATTATGTGCAGTTGCTTGTTTAAGATATGATTACTTCAAGCATATTATATGTAATGATGATCAACTGGATAACAACTACATATTTCTTAAGGAGCCAACAAAATATTCAAAGTATTAACGCTTGGTTTTGATGGCATGGTTTATTTTCAAAGAAGTAGTTATAGAATATGTTGTCCCAAAATCAATTTCTCTTTGTTTATCGGATTCAGATTATGATGAAAATTTTATTTGCACAAATCTTGCAGAATCTAAGTGTGAAAAAAAAAGTTCAGGGAGTAATAAAGAAAAAAATATTAATTCTTTTGAATATTGTTTTTGCAAATCTTTCTTTACCAAAAAATGCAATTTGCAGCGTCATATCAAAAACATCCACAAGTCAAGTGAAGATGCTTAAGCAAGTATTAGGACAGGAAATAGTTTTTGTTTAGAGTGTGGGTTTCAAAGCCGGAGAATTACTGATTTAAGAAAACATTTATCTTTTCTCATTGTTTTACATTCCAAAAAGAATTACTATCATTTTCTAATTTAATAGGTAAGTAGTTTCTTTTTTATAACTATTACAAAAACAATCATATTAAAAAAAAAAAAATTTTAAATGTTCATATATGTTAACATAAACATTGATTTGTTTTTGTTTCACTACTTTCAAAATTTATATCAACAAAGTTTTGCAAATATATAATTTCCATATGCAGCTAGACTTGCAGATATTTTTTGCTTGATCTCTATATATAATTGTAAAAAAAATAATTCAACATGAAAAATTTGATTAGAATGGAAGTCTGATATTGAACTTAGTTGTTTAAGTCAATATATTGTAACCTCTGGCGGAAAGGTCTGTAAAGATGGTAAGATAATTACATACTACCTATGTAACCTAAGTGGTTTCTATAATTGTTTGTCATCAGGCAAAAGAAGGATACAAAGTAGCAGTATTTTTTTTATTCCTTTTTTGACAATCTAATGTGAATGTGTAGTTGTTATTGTGTGATGTCTAATAGTTTCACTTGTAAGGCTTTTCTCAAAATATGAAAATTACTAGTTAGTTTAATGAAAGTTCAAGTCAATCTATCAATTTGACATAAGTCAAAGTGAAAGATTGCTAATATCATTTTTCAAATATATTAATAAAATTATGTTTGTTTGGCGTGTTACTTATGAATGGTATTGTTTAATTGGTATTAGGAACTCGAAAAATAGACAAGAATTGCACATCGACACTAAAAGTGACATGCTCCGATACACAAGTTGTGGTTAATGCTTGTTATTCTCATTACGGCCATCAAACCAAGGTTCAACATCTTTCTTTAACAAAATGTCAAAAGAGAGAAATCGCAGCAAAGCTGCAAATGGGCATAACAAAAGATTACATCTTAGATGAAATAAGAGATGAAATTGTCGGTTGCTCGTCCAAATTACGTATAATTCAGAAAAAAGATTTAGTCAACCTTGAAAAGGCATTTAACATCAATTCAGTTCAACGCCATCTAAACGACCAAGATAGTGTTGCAGCTTGGTTAAAAGAGTGGTAAATGAAGGAAAACTTGGTTAAAAGAGTGGTAAATGAAGGAAAACAATCCTATATTACATTATAAATTACAAGGAGAATCTGATACATCCCATCAGTTTGAAGTCTCAGATTTTATTATAATCATACAAACTGAACACCAAAAAAATATGTTCCAACAATTTGGACGTGCAGGGGTTAGTATTAATTCTACTCACGGTACAAATGGTTATGACTTTCTTTTAACAACATTATTAGTGGTTGATGAATTAGGTGAGGGTCAACCTGCTGGGTGGTGTTTAGCCACTAGTGATTCTTTTAATTTTATGAAGCTTTTTTTTGGCAAACTAAAAGAAAATTCTGGTAATATTTATCCCATTTGGATAATGACTGACATGGCTGCACAATACTATGATGCATTTTGTAATGTTTATACATGTGCTCCTCTTAAATTATGGTGTACATGGCACGTGGATAGAACATGGAGAGATGAAATTCATAAAAAAATAAAAAATACTGAAATGGAAGTAGATGTTTACAAAAGACTTAGATTTATTTTACAATTAAGAGATCGTAAACTTTTAGATGATTATTTAAAGTCATTCATGCTTTACTTGCAATCTTTCACTTTAACTAAATCATTTGCTGAATATTTTCAAAGATATTGGGAAGGCAAGAAGCATTTTTGGGCATCATGTTACAGAATTGGACATGGAATTAATACTAATATGTATCTCGAATCATTTCATAAGACCTTTAAGTATAATTATCTCAATGGAAAACATAATAAAAGATTAGATAACTGCTTGTTTAAATTATTAAAATTCAATAGAGATAAAGTGTATGAAAGGTTAATAAAATAACCAAAGGCAAAAATAGCTACAAATTAAATCTGATATATTCTTGGCATGTAGCTAGTTTAAATTTATCTTTAAGTTGTGTTATTGAGGAAAAAGGAAAATGGTTTGTACAGTCTGAAAACAATAATGACCAATATGAAGTTATAAAACATCATGATATATGTAATATAATTGGTTGTCTTACAAAGTGCACTGAATGCCAAGTCTGTTCCCATTTATACCACTGTAGCTGTATGGATTTTCTATCAAAAAATATACCATGCAAACATATTCATTTAATTCATCGTCTAGGAAGTGAAAGTAAATAAAAAAAAATACACTTGTTAGTTTACCTCCAGTTGATTTGGAAAGCAAAACAATATGTAATGTTTCTGGTGATGTTCAGACTTTGAAAAGTAATATTATAAAAAATTTAATGGGTCTTGTCAAGTTAGTGTCTTCAAGTACAATTTCGGAAGAAAAAGCTTTAAAAAATTTGAATAAAAACATTTCACAAGCTACAAGTACTTTTCTTAGTCTAAGTGAAAACAGAGTTGAATAATTTTTCTTAAAAGAAAATATACGATCAAACAAAAAGTAAACAAAACAACCACAGTTTTATTCAATAAAAAAAAGAAAAAAAGTTTCCTCTAACAGTTTAGCTAAACCTTCTAACGATGAAATTAAAGAGCTGTTTGGTTTTTCAAAGTGGGACTCAAAAAACAAAGGTGCCTTACTTTTTGTTTGTTATTTAAATATTTTATTTAATATATGCAACATATTTTGTGAAAATGCTTAATTAATATAGTTGTAGCCCAGACAAAAATTATTCCAGAAAATAAATGTAATGAATTAACAATAGAGAAGGCGTCAAAAAACGTTCCAGAATCCAAGTTATTATTGCCAGGTAACTTAATTTATCATATATATGTTGACTTTTATAATGGTTTTGTTTAATATTTTTATATATATTAGGGTAGGTCATAAATTTTTTTTTTAGAGTTGCTAACCTGGCTATGGTCTAGAAAGTTGTTTTTTTATGTACTAATTTAGGAAAGTATTTACTTTTATGGATTGAACAATGTCTTCCACCCGCAACTATAACTACAAAAATTAGCAGGCCCTATTATTATTCAGAAAAAAAGTTTTTTCAAAATTATGTGATGTAGGTACTCAAATAAAGCGAAATTTTTTCATATAAAAATTATTATTTTAGTTTTTATTGCATAATAACTATAGTTTTTTAACTAAAAGTGAAAAAGGTGCAGTTTTACTTGTTTTTTAATAACAATTTTTTTCGACAATATGATTTTTATAAAACAATTATTATTTTCGAATTTTTTATAAAATTTCGCATCTTTTGAGTACCAGGTCAACCTACTTTTGAAAAAATTTTTTTCTCCAAAATATTAGGGTACCGGTAATCTGTGTGTGTGTGTGTGTTTGGTTTATTGCTTGTTTGCTAGTTTGTGTTGCTTATTTAGCGTTTTAATAATTTAGAGCAAAGAAATGTTTTAGCATATTTTGGCTATTCCAACCGAATTTTAACTCATATTTTAACAGACAAAGACCTGCAGACTGATGGAAAACTTCTTCATGCTGAAGTTATCAAACATGACATCAATGTCGTAAAAGACTTAGTTAATCCAGACACATTTTTAAAACTTCAGAAAAATGGTAACCATTCAAATTTATTGTTTAATTACTTAAAAAAACTTTTTCTTTAATAAAGTTAGCAAATAATTAAACCATTTACTAATTACGTAATTAATTAATAATCCTTTGCATTTACATAATTAAACCATTGCTATGATTTGTTTTTATAGTGCTACATCTTAAACAAAGTTGGAGTTGTCCGAGTTGTAACAAACCACAATTTGAAGATATGATTGAGTGTAAAGATTGTTTGACTTGGTACCACTGGTAAGTTTGAATGCATAAACCAGAAAAGTAAAATGGCAGCATATATTGTTGTACAGGAATCAGCCAATTATTCTAATTTATGCTTTTATAACAGTTACTTTCTTGGATTTATGCAAAATATTTTCATAACATGATAAAAATGTAAATTATACAAACAAAGAAATGTATTTGTCTCTTTCGATTTCTCTCTATATATGTGAGTGTATATACACGCACTCACACACATATATGTGTTTGTGTATGTGTGTGTGTATATATAAATATGTATATACAAGTCTCGGAATTAGGAAAAATGAGGTCGGCAAATTATTGCCCACCTCAATCTTTTTGAGGTCGGCATCAGGTCGGCAAAAATTATTTGATACTAAGGTCTGACCACCAAACATAGAAACAAGATCGGCAATTTTTTGCCGACATCAGACACTTTCAGGTAAGCAGTTAGGTCAGCATCGCCGAATGCCGACTCTAATTCTGAGGGTTACATATATATATATATATATATATATATATATATATATATATATATATATATATATATATATATATATATATATATATATATATATATATATATATATATATATATATATATATTTAAACAATTTAAAATGTATTCTACAAAAAGAGTGCTTAATGTTCTTAAAAGAACAGAGCAATTACAGATTAGTAGAAATTCACTTAGCAAAATATTTTCTCAAAAAAAAATTTTGCTAAGTGATTTTCTACCAATTTATATATATATATATATATATATATATATATATATATATATATATATATATATATATATATATATATATATATATATATATATATATATATATATATATATTTGTTTGCATAAGAAAATTAAAATTTAATTTAAAATTTTTTGAGTAAATTTTTATTTCTTATTAGGAAATGTATTTCTCCGGGTAAAGTTATTACAGATAAGTGCTGGATCTGTAGTGAATGTGACACCAAAAAGTTTTGTAAGCAAGTTACAGACTCTTAACTATGAAAACAGAGATCGCAGTTAACAAACTTCTTTTTACATAATATATACCGTGGTATCAGCACGACTATATACATAATTGTTTAAAACTTCTAGAACATCTTATCAAATGATAAATTAAGGGCATTAATTGAGTCTAGTTTGAACAATTTGTGATGTGTCTTTCTTAGATATTTAACACTCAGCATGCGCTTTTTATTTTACTGAAATGTCATGAATACTTACACAAAGGAGATATTATTGGTTTTATACAAGGCCGGCACGATGGAAAAGGAGGGGTCATTTAGTCGGCAAATTAACTTCCTATGGCGACATTGTGTTTCCTAACAATTCTAAATTTTTCTGCAAACTAATTTTATCATATCAAAAGTTGCATATTTTGCTATTCTTTCATTTACACTTCTTTTATGCAAGGGGAGGGAGAGGTTGTCAGAAAAGGACGTCACTTTATAGGTTTTTTATTTAGTTTTATTAACAAAAAAAACTACTTAAACATGTGTTTTTGAGAAGATAATGTATGAGAATATTTTTAATTTTATTTTTCAAAGGTGTAGCAGCAGATTCAAACATCATTGCAAGATGAAATAAATTTTTTTGGAGTTAAAAATAGGGAGGGGGTCAGGATTTTATGACGTCCTTTTCCAGAGGGGTATAGGGAAAAAGGACAACCGATGACAAATGATGGGGGTAGGTGGTCAAAAATTGGCTAAAAAATGGTGACGTTCTTTATGGATGGCACCAAATGGGAGTTAAAATTTCATATGAGAATTTTACTGGAGAGTACAAATTTTATATGCGATTTTTACTGGGTAGTAAAAATTTAATGAGCTTTTTACTGGGGAGTAAAAAATACTGGGTGTAAAAAACTTATACTACACCAGCCCTCGAATTATTATGGTAATAAAAAAAAAAAACTATGCTTAGTTTTTTTTTTTTTATTACCATAATAATTCTTTACAATAAACTATGTATAAAAGATTAATAGAGGGACTTCTAAAAGATCATATAGATCGTATCACGATCTGTATGATCTTTTAGAAGTCCCTCTATTAATCTATCAAGCCCTGTACAATTTATTTTCAACATTATTTAAATAATATAAATTTACAATTTCCGTAGTCAAGTTATATGGATTACAGTAAATTAACAGTAAGTTATATGGATTAATAGAAAAATCTATATTTGGTATAACTGTTTTGGGTTTTTAAAATTTATTGCGCGAGCTGTGTGTTTCTGATGATGATAAAGAGATTTAAGTTTTATTTATTAATGCTACCCCATAATGTATTTTGCATAAATGATGTGGCAATTATTAAAGGAATAGTATAGCTCCGTTAGTTGCTGTTTGTTTAATATGTCTTTGGCTTTTTATATAATGCTAATAGATTTTGCAACTTTTGAGGAGGTACTGTCAATATGATTTTTTCAAGATAGATTTTCATCAATATACACTCTTGAAAAGTCAGGCATTAGAGTTGGTAATCTTATATTTTTTAAGCGTGGATGGAAAAGTGTTCATTTAGTTTTGTCAATGTTTAGAGATGTTTGTCATGTTATTGAAAAGTATATTTGTATTTTCATAAGATAAAAACAAGTTTGTGTCATCAGCAAAGATTATTGATGTTAAGTTTGAGGTTTTATTAAGATTTTTTTTTTTTTTTTTTTTTTTTAACATCTTCACTTCCAACAAGGCTGCAAGCAACCACTATAAGAGTTGTAAGTTACTGGAAGAGAAAAGACTAAATCTGTAGAGCAAGATAACGATTGACTGATGACTTAAAAGATTGCAAATTATATGAATCAGGAAAGCAAGATGAAGGAAGCGAATTCCAAAGAACTGATGTTCGAGGAAAAAAACTAGAAGAATAAGAGTTTTTGAAGCACTTAGGAACAGCCACAGAAAAAGGATGAGACTTAATTGAATGGCGAGTAACACGAGAATGAATTTTAGTAGATGGCACAAGGGACGCTAGCTCTTTAGAGCAGTGCCCATTATAGTATTTGTAGAAAAGAGAAAGAGAAGCAAAATTACGACGATGTGACAAAGGTTGGAGATTGGCTGCCAGAGCAGGTCCAACTATGTTTACAATTCGTTTTTGCACCTTGTCTAAAAGAGAAAGAGCATCATTAGAAGATCCGCCCCAGATGTGGCAACAGTATTCCATATGATCGTAAATCCCAAAATACTTTAACTACTCATAAAAGGTAAAACCATTATCAATTAAAAGTTAAAAAAAAATTAACAGTTAAATCTACCGATTTTTAATGGTTGTTAAAAACAACGTTTTTGCTTCGAATTAAGTTAGGCTGCTAAAAGTGACCATTTGCAAGGATTTAGAGTTTGGTTATTACATTAAAGCTCTATGCGAAAAAGTTAATACTAAGTACTTTGCTTTTTCTCAAATAAGGAAATCTTATAAACAAGCTATTTTATTATTTAACTTATAAATTAACCTCTAAGTTTCAATACTGAGCTTTGATTAGGATGTTTTGCCAAAAATACAATGATTGACTCATAATAAAGTTCATAAAAAAGCACTCCACATAGTCCATAAAAAATTTTATTTGCATACTATAAAAAGTTCAAATAAGATTATATTAAATTTAAAAAATTAAAATAAATGAAAAAAGGAAAAAAAAAAAAATTAAAAAAAATTAAGGAAGGAAAATGTTAAAAAAAGAACCAAGAACCCATATCCAAAAATGGAATTTTTAATGATTAAAGACATTAAACCCTTAATTCGGCCCCTGAATTTATGATGGACTACTAAAAATAATAGTAACTTGCATCAATGAATATAACAGTAACTATGACTTTGCTTTTAAATGTTATCCTATTAATGATAAAACAAAAAGCTAATACAATTGTAAATTTATAATTTCACAAAAGTTCAAAACACAATCAAAAAGCACAATAAATCTTCATCAATCACTTCAATTCAAAATATGTGAAGCCAGGAATAATCTGGAATCATATGGCAGAATCTTTGCTCATCAATCATTTTTTTGAATTTTTTAATCATCAATTTTTTTTTTTGAATTTTTTTCAAAATTTTTGAAAAAAATTCAATTTTTTTTTTAAATCATCAATCAATTCATGATTTTCTGATGACTATTTGGCCTTTATAATATTTGAATTTTATGAATATATTATTATTATTATTACTATATTATTCTCTCCACAAAGAATAGTAAGTTTTTCTCTGCTCTTAACCAAATGATGGTAAAACAATATTAACACTAAATGGTCTATAGTATTCTGCTATTGTAAAGCCACAGTCACTCATTACAGTTTTACCTTGATTAACTTAATAAACATAAATCCTTTTCCGGGTGCATTTCCTACTAAAACTTTAACTATTGTATTTTTATTATCTAATTACATAATTTTGTGCCTAAATAACTAAGATAGTTTATTAACTTTGTAATCTACACAATCAACAATACATTTTACAGTAGGGAGCTTTTCCTGCATTCATTAGGAAATTTTCTTCCTAACTCACTCTATACAAGGCCATATGCAGATGTCTTATACATAAAATTTATCCATGTATTTACAGTATTTAAAACTGTTCCTTCTGAAATATTGTATAAAAATAAATAAAATTCATTTTTTTCCAGGATCTAAAAATGCTTAAACAGCTTGGTTATTGATGGAAATCCAGTATAAACTATACTGGATAAATGAATCTACTAATTTACCTTCAGCAACATTTACTTTAAAGTCTACTTCCTCTAGTGGCGCTGACAATAATGTTGATAAAGAGATATCTACTTCATTTTGTGGCGATAAAAATTGTGCTGATGCAAACGAATCGTCATCGACATTTTCAAACAAACATTGTCTGAAACTTTGTGGTTTTCTGGATGTATCTGACACTGAAAATTTATTTCATGAGTGCAGTATTGTCCTAAAAAACGTTATTAAAGTTTTATTTGTGTACCAAATGGGGTTTTATGGACCATTTCTTGTAAGAAATGCTTTTGACATAATCAACTAGATTTGTTGTCTTTAAATTATCTTTATTTTCTTGTCTTTTTATTAAGTTACACCAAATATTTCTTTTTACAGTTAGAAATGTGAAAAATATAATATTTTTTGGAACTCTAATTCCATTTACATTATCTATCATAGCTATTTGAAAAACATTTAGAAAAAGCACATTGCAACCCATACAATATCGCCATTTTTAAACATCGTCGATTTGTTTTGATTGTTACAAACACTGCCTCGTTTTCACGGAATGCTTTATGAAAAGGTCTATTATATACTTTAATTTACCGCATCATCAGGGTTATCGATATATTATAGGGATATGGATATATAGGAATTATTATGGGATTATTATCGATTATGAGGATATTACGTTATTTGTGTTTAAGTTTTTTTCTTTTTAAGGCGGGTTGCGGGCTCAAATCCTAATTCAGAAAATTTTTTCATTTTTAATTTTAATGTTTTATTTCTAAGTAGTTTTATTTTTTAAAACTGTTAATGTTGTTTATTTATAGTTATTTTTATTATTTATTTTTATCTTTCAAAGTTTCATTGAATAAGTGTATCAATACATAGATAAACCGACTGATTTAAATCTAGTCAAGGTGGAGTATACTGATTTAAATAATGATAGGCACTTGTAAGTATAGGCGCAACAGCGTGTACATGCGTTGACTGACTTAAATAGCGATAGGCGCAGTGGAGTGCACATACATCTACTGAGGGTTTAGGTTTGGGGAGGCATTCTTTAAAACAAAATAAAAATTTTTTAGTATTTATTTAAATTGGGTTTATAAATTAATTTAATTTGTATAAAAATATTGTTAGATTAAATTAAACAAGAATTTTAAGTAAAATCGTCAAAATAATTAATAGTATATTATGTTTAAATACACGCGTACAATTAGTTGTACGCGCGTACAAATAATGCGAACCTAAAGTCCGTCAAGTCGATCCAACTCGCCGTAGCATTATTATGAACAAATCTTACATTTATAACCGAATATCATATTTATATTTTTTACTCACATGATATATTTAAATAGTTTAGTTACTGTTAATATATCATTTATTTTTAATATTGGATGTTATTTTTGATATTATTGAGCGATGTAATACTGAATCTTGCGAACCTTATTGTAAACATTTTAAAGTATTAGAGGGCATTAATGAACGTAAACAAACTAAAGCTTAGTGGCCTTTTTAAATATTACAGTCTCTTCAAATTACAGTCAAAAAATCTATCAATCACAATCAAAAAAATTTAAAAAAACTTAAATTTTTTTTTTTAAGTATTAAAATCACTAGTCGTTCAGGCCCGTAGCAAGCTTTTTTGTTGTTGTTTGAGAGCTCTCAAACAACAACAAAAAAGTGACCTCTAGAGGTCACTTAAGTCTAGAGGTCACTCCATGTCTTAAAGTGACCTCTAGAGGTCACTTTAAGACATGGAGTAGACTCTAAACATTTATAAGTTTATGTTTATGTCAAATAAAAAAGCTCTAAACCCTCTGTCCCCCCTGCCCTTAACGAGTTTTAAAATTATTTTTTTTCACTATTTTCAACTAAATTTATATTCATCAAAATTTTAGCAATTATCTCTAAGCCTTCAAATATCTGATGTAATTTCATTACTTAATATACAAATGGTGGACATTATGCAGGGTATTACAGTTGAAACACCCTGCATGCTGTCCACTTTGCTTATCTCTAAGATATTCTTGGTCTGAAGTCATTTGGAAGTTTTACACTGTTTGAAATCATTTATACTATGAAAAAAAGGGTTTACTTTACAGTGCAAAGGCCTTTATTTCTCAGTGTAATAGCTATCCTTTACACTTTATAGCAAAGAGTTTTTTCAAATTTTTGTTAAGAAATAAGCTTTATTAATAAAAAATAGAAAAGTTAAGAAAATTGATTGAAAAAATAACTTAATTGTAAACATTTATATTAATTTATTTAACATTGTAAAAATTTATATCAAACTTTACAAATTTACAAATATAGTTCTTGAGCAAATAATTTTGTGAATATAAGAATTGACAATGTTTGGAACCAAGTTTGCATAAGTTTAAAGTTATTTATGCAATAAATATTAAGTTATATTGATAAAAAAAACCTTAAGGTGAAATAAAAAACAGAAAAACAAATAACATCAAACAAACTGTTATTAAAAGTATATTAAGTAATGAAATTACATCAGATAATCTACATAGTAAATAATGTTTAAACTTACATAGAAAAATGGTGTTATAAAACTTTAAATATATATAACAATTTTTAAATTAAAATAATAAAGGTTTTTATATGCAACATGCTGCTATAATTGTTTGTTAAATTCCCTCTTCAGATTGTTACCACCATGTCATTAAGTGCTACTCTATTTGCTAGTCACATTATTTTGCCTCAATTTTTTGCTGAAAATTTAGAAAATTTTAATTTAGAAAAATGTCAGAAAATTCTAAACCTGAAAAAACAAAAAAAGAAAAGAAAGATACAGGTGAAAAAGTAAAAGATGCTCCATTAAATCCTGATGGAACTTTAAAAAGCAAAGGACAGCTTCGTGCTGAGAGAAGACAAATTCAGGTTATTTTTCTTTATATGGAATATATATACAGTGTTTTTTGTTTTTATGAAAAAATTTAAAAGCATGCAGTAAATAACTGACCAGCCACTATGCAAGAATGATATTATATCTATAAATAAGTTTTGAAACATTTTTGTTAATTAAAGTGTAATAAAAAGCTGGAAGATTTATTAAACTTTATATGACTAGGATAATTATGTATATATAATAAAATTATGTTATATATATATATATATGTATATATATATATATATATATATATATATATATATATATATATATATATATATATATATATATATATATATATATATATATATATATATTATATGTATCTATATATATGTATATGTATGTATATATGTATATGTATATATATATATATATATATATATATATATATATATATATATATATATATATATATAACGCTCCATTTTTACTAACCCTAAACTGTCAACTGTCGATTTATTTTGTTTTCAATGTTGTCAACACTGTACTGCATAAATGGCTGCAAATTCAAATCTTGTGTTAATTTTGGGACACCCTGTATATATATATATATATATATATATATATATATATATATATATATATATATATATATATATATACATATATATATATATATATATATATATATATATATATATATATATATATATATATATATATATATATATATACACCCTGTATATATATATATATATATATATATATACATATATATATATATATATATATATATATATATATATATATATATATATATATATATATATATATATATATATATATATATATATATATATATATATATATATATATATATATATATACAGGGTGTCCCAAAATTAACACAAGATTTGAATTTGCAGCCATTTATGCAGTACAGTGTTGACAACATTGAAAACAAAATAAATCGACAGTCGACAGTTTAGGGTTAGTAAAAATGGAGCGTTATGCAATAGAACAACGTGTCTTCATTGTTAAACAATATTTCAAAAATAATGAATGCTTGGCGGCTGCACTTCGAAAATTTCATACAAAATATGGTCGGAATAGTGTTTTAACTTCATCAACTATGAGGAGATTAATTGAGAAATTTCGAGAGACAGGATCTGTAGGAGACGCCGAACACATTGGTCGTCCAAAAACAAGTCTTTCAAATGTCAATATAGAGGCAGTATGTGCCAGTGTCAATGACAATCCTTGAACCTCAATTTGGCGTCGTGGACAAGAATTGCAGATTTCAAGAAGCTCTCTACAGCGTATGCTCAATAAAGATCTGTGTCTCCATGCTTACAAAATTCACATGTTCAACAATCACATGTGGGTTCTGAAGACCCACATGTGATTGTTGAAAAACAAATGCATCCATAACGTGTCACTGTTTGGTGTGTATTTTGGGCTGAAGGCATAATTGGAACATACTTTTTTGAAAATGAGGCTGGTCAAGCAGTGACTGTTACTGGTGCTTGAAACTCTCTTGTTTCGGTGATCAGAATTGGCCCCCTAGATAGTGTGATTTAACACCATTAAATTTATTTTTATGGGGTTATTTAAAATCACAGGTCTATATCAACAAACCCACAACCACGCGTGCATTAAAAGAAGAGATTTAATGTTGCGTCAACAAAATTCAGCCACATTTATGCAGAACGGTCATAGAAAACTATGTGTCTGCAAAGCTGCGGAGGCCATTTGCCCGATGTGCTATTCCATAAATAACCCTATCCTATGTACTTTATGAATCAGTAAAAAAATTACAATCAAAAGATTAAAAACTGTGTTTTCTATTTAGTTCAAATCTTGTGGTAATTTTGGACACCCTATATATATATATATATATATATATATATATATATATATATATATAATATATATATATATAACTTTTTAAGTTCCTATATAAATTTTCAAATAAACTTTTTGAATTAAATGGTTGGACTTTCTTATGCGTTATTATTAATAAAACAATAGAAGGAAACTGCATTTCCTTCTATTGTTTTATTTCCAGTTTCTTCCTATTCTTTTATTATTAGTTATTAACGAGAAATGACTAAATAATGTTTATTAAATATTCACTTTCAAGATGTCAAGTAAGAAGTTGTACAACAAAGAAGATGTAGAAGCGGCATTAGATAATATAAAAAAAAATACTTCAATCAGAAAAGCTGCATTCAGTTATGACATTCCATTCTTCACTCTATTAGGTTGCAAGAACAACAACAATGCAAACTTCAAGAGATCAGGATCAGCAACGGTGCTCTAGCAGCAAACAGAATCAATGATGGTTCATGTGTTCAAGTTATTTTATGAATGAGTTATGGAGTTTAGAGTTATAGTTTAATGCAAAATAATGTCATTGGTTTGTATGAGGCTACCTTTATACAAATCAATCAGGCATGTTTAAGAATGGCAGGCCTGGCAAAGACTGGTAAAGTGCATTTAAAAAACGGTGGTCTTAAGGTGTTTTAACAAGGAAAACTCACAATTTAGTGTCTTCCAGAGCTTTATTTATGCAAGAATTTAATATGAAATAATTGATAATTAATATGAAATTATTAGTATGAAATAATTGATAATTAATTTTGAAGTTTTCATTAAACAGTATATCAATTGTATCAATATCAAGTGTCAGATAAACTACTGGTTGTCATATTTAAAATTGTGATCAAATGGGTTTCTGTGGTGATCAAGGCAAAACAACTGTAGTACCCTAGTTTACTATCTTACAGACAACTTACAAGTCTTATAGGATTGCAATATTCTTAAACTATCTTATAGGATATCTTAAAGGATACATAAGATTTTATTTGTCTTGCAAATCCTATAGGATCATAAGAAATCCTGTGATTAGCCTTTAGGGTATCTTAGAGGATTCATAAAAAAAAAAAAAAATTTTTTCTTTTTTTTTTATGTTAGGTGCCTTATGGTTTTATCACAGAGCACCGCAGAGGAGCATTTAATAAGAAGTTAATTGCTCCTTCCTAACCTATGGGTTTCGAACCCCGGATTGCTAGAGTGTTGGCTAAGCGTGCTATCCATTGTGCTACACGACTGCTTTGCTTATGTAGAAAAAAAAAATATATATTTTAAATATATAATAATTTAAAAATACTAAAATATATTTTAAATATAAAATAATTTAATTTATATATTTCAATAAAACTAGTTTTATTGAAATATATAAATAAAATATATACAGGCCTGTACCATGAAAATTTTTCCTGAGGGTTGTTTTTGAAAGCCGTTTTTATATGCAAGTATATATCTTGCTCAATTTTTATGTTAAAATTTGCATAAAATCAAGAGAATTTGGTTTAAAAGGGGGTCAATTGCGCCTGAATACCCCCTTCCCCCCACGGTATGGGCCTTATCCTATAGGATATATTCTTGTAGGATCTATAAGGTCAGTAGTCTAGGGTATATAAAAAAAGCTACAAAATAGTGTTTGAAACTCACTGGTTACAGCAAAAAAATCCATTACACAGCGAACAATTGTTGTAATGCTGATGAATACTTTACACATCCATTTGTGATTTACAAAGTAAAACAAACCTTCAAAGCTGAGTGGGCTTTAGGTGGTTCAACTGGCAGCAAATATTCAATTTCTAATTTGGTTTGGATGGAGCAAAATAAATTTATTAAATGGTTGAAGGAACTGTGTATACCAGAATGTCAATAGTGGTATTTATATTTTACACCTTAATGAGCAAACATCTCACATCAATACAATCTTGATTTGTTTACCAGCTCACTCCCCTAGACTACCGATCTTACAGATCCTACAAGAATCCTATAGGATGAGTTGCACAAGTCCCTGCAGGACCTACAAGAATCTTTTTGAAAGATCATATAGGATTTGAAGGAATTCTTATTGGATAAGGTAAGATCCACAAGAATATTTTTAAAGATTTTGCAGGAATAACAGAATTCTTATAGGATGCTGTAGGCTAATTTTAGATTCTTACAAAAACCATAATATTTAGTTTTGTTATAATTAATATCACTTATTATAATAATATAAATCTATAATATTATAAATATATCTATATATATATATATAAATAGATATATCTATAGTGTATATCATATAGTGTATATCATATAAACATTAAAAATAAAGATTCAATACCCAGAAGAATTTTTAACTTACTTTTATTAAACTATAATTTTTAATAAAGTTGAAGTTACAAATTTTAAGGTTGATATTTTAGATACAATTTAGCTTGTGGGTTTTTAAACAACTAAAAAATACTGATTTTTAAAAGAAATTGAAAGACTGAGGTGATCAAATATCTTTTCATTATCCCTAGTTGTCATTATCAATTAGAAAAGTAAACAAATTAATATTAAATTAATTTTTATTTTAACGAGACCGCAGATTTTCAAGGGGCCCCAAATAGAAAAAGGTAGCTAAGAAAAAGGGTCTTTTACCAATAATATAGTAGAATTTTGTTAAATAACGCCGCTAATCAAGTTGCTGTACCAGATATGATGACTCTTGGAAGCACTTTATATATATATATATATATATATATATATATATATATATATATATATATATATATATATATATATATATATATATATATATATATATATATATATATATATAAGGCCTATACCACGGGGGAAAGGGGGTCGTCGGGTGCGATTGACCCCCTTTCAAACTAAGTTTTCTTAGTTTTACTCAAATTTAACATAAAAATTGAGCAAGATATATATTTGTATATAAAAACGGCTTTCAAAAACGACCCTTAAGAAAAATTTTCATGGTACGGGCCTGTATATATTTTATATATATATATTTAAATAAAACAAGTCTTAAATTATTTTGTGTTTAAAATATATTTTTGTAATTTTAAATTATTTTATATTTAACATATTTTTTTATTTTTCTACAAAATCAATGCAGGCGTGTAGCGCATTGGATAGCACGCTTGGCTTAGACACTAGCAATCCGAGGTTCAAAACCCACCTCTGGACAAGTTTTTATATTGGTTAGGAAGAAGGCATTAATTTCTTATTAAATGCTTCTCTGCGGTGCTCTGTGATAAAACTGTAAGGCACCTAACACACACACACACAAAAAAAAGAAAAAACAATTTTTTTATTACAAATCCTCCAAGATTACCCTAAAGGCTAATCACAGGATTTCTTATGATCTTATAGGATTTGCAAGACAAATAAAATCTTATGAATCCTTTAAGATAGTATAAGAATATCGCAATCCTATAAGACTTATAAGTTTTCTGTAAGATAATAAACTAGGGTCTACTGCCATCTACTGCCATGTTAAGCAAGTAATATGGCGCCTATACTGCTCCAGTGGTACCAAAACAGGTCTGGGTTTGTCTTTGAGAGCACTACATGAGAGAATGTAAATTGATCTTAATTGATGTTTTTTTAAATAATTTGAACAGACTGGTTGACAGGGAAATATTGCTTGACTAGGGTTAGGGAGCGTTTACTTTAATTTTTGTTGATAAAACTTCAAATATGTGCAAATTAACTGAGGAGGAATATAAACATCTTCTTTTAAACACAATCACAACCATTTATAAAAAAGCCAACCCTAAACTTAAAGATGAAGTAAACAGAGAAAATATGCAACTTTTCAATTCAAATATGCAATTAAACATTTTATTTTTAATAATTTCATAAAAAACAGACTATCTAATTTTTTAAATAACTCTATTATTCAACTTCTAAATTCTACAAAGAATGAAGTAGGTATTATATAAAGTTCTTTTATTGAATAACAGTTCATGACTTTCTGTAAAGTATTTTTTTTTTATTGAGCAGGAATTTTATTATTTTTAATATTGAGTTTTTAAGATTTAAATATTCTTTTCAACAATCTTCTTCTTTCTTACAAAAGAAGTTGGTATCCTCTACTTTCTTACAAAAGAAGAAGCTAGTATCTTCTTTTTTTCAAAAAAAGAAGTAGATTCTTCATCTGTAAGATGGTACAATAATTTTGTAAAATTTAACTTTTTTTTTTTTAGAAAAAAAAGTTGGATAAATTTTGCTAATCTATTGCAGGATATATAATTTCAATTAATTTGCCACCAAGTCACATTCCTCACTAAAATCTTTTTGTAACTGTTCTATGAATATACTAATTAATGTGTTTTATGGCTTCTTATGTTCAAAGTTTCTGTTTTACTTTTAATTTGTGATTTGTTAAAAAAAAAAAATATTTATTAATATAAGAAAAGTGTCAATGAAATGTTTATCATTATAGTCTATATTTACTTTAATGATAGTATTTATAACGCTAGTATTTATAAGTATAACTATTATGGAGGATTTTTTTTTGTATGCAGGATGCACAACGTGCTGCAAAAAGTTCAGCCTCTGTTCAGTTACCAAAGTCTCAATCAAACAATGTTGCTCAAAGTACTCAAAGTAATAAGAAATCGACTGAAGGTATTTTTTATTTGAATAAATGAAATTTAATTATAAGAAATTGTTGCATTAATAACAATACAAACAATTTTAAATTTAAACAAATTTTTAAATTTTAGGAGTTCAAAGAGTTGCTTACAATGTATTGATGGATGATCCAATAGCACAAAAAAAGGTCTCAAAGAAACTTGCTAAACAAAATGTACCACAAAGAAATACACAAGAACAAAAAAAAGTGAATCTATTTTCTCATCTACATCAATACGAAGAAGATTTATCGCTTACAAAAGATATATCGTTAGTTTCTTAATATACTATATATATATATATATATATATATATATATATATATATATATATATATATATATATATATATATATATATATATATATATATATATATATATATATATATATATATATATATATATATATATATATATATTCGAACAATTTTAAAAAATGCATTCTACAAAATAGAGTGCTCAATGTTTTTTTTTCATTTTTCAAAAAAAAAAAAAAAAAAATTTTTGTCAAGTGATTTTCTAGTAATTTGTATATATATATATATATATATATATATATATATATATATATATATATATATATATATATATATATATATATATATATATATATATATACACATATACATATATATATATACATATATATATATATATATATATATATATATATATATATATATATATATATATATATATATATATATATATATATATATATATATATATATATATATATATATATATATATATATATATATATATATATATATATATATATATATATATATATTAAACCATTGTCTAAACATACTTTTTTTTCCAAAGCATGTTGGCTCACTTTGGCATTTATGTTAGCCATAAATATAAACATAATTTCGAAAAAATTATACAATTTTGAGTTATAATCATTTTGGGAAATCATTTTAAAGTTTTCAAGTTTTATTTATGTTTTTTTTTTGAATATTTAAATTAGTTAAATATTTTGCAAAATCATAAATATCTGTGACGGAAACTTTTTACAAGTCTTGCCTCGTTTTCACGATACTTTATGAATGCTTATTTGCTAATGTCACATAGAAATGAAGGTTTGTAAAAAGTTTCTGTCCTAGATGTTTATGAAAAGTTCTATTAAATATTAGTTCAAAACTAGAAAATCAGATTTTCTAGTTTTTAACTTGATTGTTAACAAAAAGTTCTTTAAAATTGTTGGTGTTTAAAAAAAGCTTGGCCCAGGGTCTTTTTTGCATATAATGGAACTTCAATGATTTTATAAACCTCAGAATGAAAGTTAAACCATGTTTGATGTTGTAATAACATTTTTAAATGTCTTGTCATAAAAGAGTACATCGAACTCAATTTTATTTATGTCTTAATCATCAGTCATAGAATAAATTTTCAATATCAATAATATTGATATATTATAGTTTTGTATTGTATTCAATATATATTATATTTGCAATATACAAGATTGTATAATTACTCTAAGAAAAGTATACAATATTCTGACTTTTTCACTTTTCTTTTGTTTTTCGGCTCTGCTTTGGTTTTTAGCCAGAATGAAGTTATGTCTCTTCACCCATCCATAAACCTTTTTAGAAGCTTCATATGTGAGTTTTACAGCTCTTTCAACCGACTGAGAATTGTTTGGCAAATCAGTTAGAAAAAGTTTATCGCCGGTTTGATTAGCTTGTTTTAATTCATTTGAAGAAACAAAAATTGAAGTGGGAGGTTCAATTTGTATTGAAGAAACTTCAATTAAGTCGGTCCAAACATTAGCATTAAAGTTCAAGGTCATAATTGTCTTTGATTTTAGGTTTAAAATCTGGATTTGTTTCCCTAGATAACCTAATCTCCAAGGTTTGATTGAGAGCACGATCTCTTACAACTTTTTCATCGTCTAGCAGCATAGCGTAAAGAAAATTTTCTTGACAGCAGCAATAGGAAATACCCTTAAGATTTTTAAATACAATCTTTTCAATTCTGTTATCCTGTTTTTTGACCAACTGCATTGTTTTATGGAGGAGCTTTGGTGCATCTTTGTAATGCGCTGAACTTTTTACAGCAAACCACATTAGACAGTAGACTTGAACTATTTACTTTGTGATGCAGTTTAGATCATGTGTAGGTATCTCAGTTCTTGCATAAACCATCATAATTCTTAAAGCAAGGGTTAGCCAGCGTGCATGACAGACAGGACCAGGTTTCTTATTAACACACTTGACAGAAATGGAACCTTTAGCTATTCCAATATAATACTCATAAAGTTTATGCTGGTCTGTGCTCAGATTGCAAACAATGTTGGGATTTACATAAATCTCAGAATCTATAGGAATAAACTTAACCAAAGGTTGTTCATGCATGAATATGTTAAACGCTTGTTTACCAATAGGGCTTTTATCTTTTTTAGGATCATTAGTTTGTCCATCTATTTCAGATATAACATGACGAAGAGGTAGCTCACCCTGATGAAGCAAACATCCAACTAAATCATTGCTATGATTCAAACGCTTTTCTAGTTTGTCAACTAAACCATTATCTACGCCAGTGTTAGAACTTGTATTGTCATGAATAATCGCTTCTAAGCTTTTAACACTATCATATTCAGAAAACACATTTAATGTTGCTAAAGCTATAGTACTACCTTTACCATTTCCTATTATCACATGTGTTAGATAATTTCCAGAGAAATGATCATTTTCACAAGTAAAAGTGAGGTGATGTTCATCATTGGTGGTTCGATAAAAGAAAGGGTCCCCATTACTCTTGTATTTCATCACATGAACTAATGAATTTTTGTCTTTCTTGCTATCAACACCAATTACCTTTATTTCTAAAACCTCTTGACGATGCTTAGTGTCAATTGATTTAGCCACTCGTGCTTTTTCACAAAATACCTTATATTGCAGCTGCTGCAGCATCGCTTACTTTGTATCTTATTGCAGCCTTGGCTAAATTAGTTAATTCTGTGTAATTTAAAGTATTTGCTCCTCAAACTCTTCACTTTCAGTTGTATCTAAACTTGAAGGTTCAGCACTAAAACTACTAATCGATTGACTACTGATATTTTTTGAAGATTTTTTTGTCTAATTAGCTTTCTAGTGGCCTCATTTTCCTCTCTAATATACTTTTTGGGGTTCCTTGTTGCCTCTGCTTGGTCCACATTGCCTAACTGCCAACTTCCTTTTGGTCCTATCTTTGGTCCTTTAAATATTCTCTTTCCAGAACAGGGACCTAAAATAAGTCAAATATTCTAAATTTGAAAGTATTTAAATTTAAAGTGAATAGATTGAATTTGGTCAAAAATTGGTCAAATGATTAGTGATCAATAATCATTTTAACATAACTTCATAAAAGAGCAGCAATTTCTAAAATGACTTAAGGTTATTTTATTTTCTCTAACCTTACATATTTATGAATTTTAACTGTAAATGGCATGAATTACCTTTCTACTTTCCTCACAGAGGCAAACTATGTGTTTCATTGTACAATTACTTTTCCGACATCCAATTTTTCTAAACGTATATTATTTTACAATAAAATCAAAACAATATAGAAACCATTTATTGCATAGGCTTACATCTGTTAGTTTACAGTTGTAGGCCTTACTTTAATACCTTAGTAGAAGGTAGAGGAATAGGGTAGTAAATTTTCATCTACCTTTACAAAATATTTTTCACGTAACATTAGAAGAAAGTTATAATAAAAAACTTCAAAAGATATTTCTTTACCTATTATTACAATCATCAATAATTGGAAGATCGCACCGGCAAGCAGACACATCAAACAACGTTTCCAGTTTCTTTTCTAGCCAGCTTATACTAGACTTATGAATTTTAGATTGAATTCATTCTGCAAACAATACTTTTAGAAATATTCTCGATATTTTATTTTTTAATGGTTTATCTTTTATCAGAGGTAGATTTAAATTGACCCTACACCAAAGCTGTTGCAAGTCACTATTGACTTTTGTCACTATTGATACAGAGTCAATTTTCTGTCCATTAAATAATTCTTTCTCAACCTTGTAATCGTATTGAATGACCTGTTTGTAAATTGGTAGATCGTTTACAGGTAAATCATAGGCTTTTCCAGCAAAGCTTCCACTATTAATACAAGTTTTATTTAAAACTTTCACAGGTTGTCTAAGTTTTTTTGAGCTCATGCTGATATGACAATATGAATTTGTTATATGATTAAAAAAAAAACAAGAAACTATTTTTCAATTTAAGTTTCTAAATGAAATATGTTTTAAACTATTTGTTAAAAAACAATTAGCTTACGTTTTAGTTTGGTAAATTTTTTATCAAGCGCAAATCTCTGTAGTTTGCTGTATATTTTCAATAGCTCTACGTTTTTAAAAAAAACATACCGCATGAAAGTAGAGTTTCATTTACAGACCTTAAGTGATTTCATGTAGAATTTGCAAGTTTTTCTATTGCATTTCCCAAAAAGATTAAGTTTTTTGATGTTTTTTTTTTGTGGCAAACGAATAATATATCCATAATACATAAATCCCACACTGAGTTAAGTGTTATCATATACATGACAGTGGCCTAATATATATATATATATATATATATATATATATATATATATATATATATATATATATATATATATATAATATATATATATATATATATATATATATATATGTATATATATATATATATATATATATAAGTATATATATATATGTATATATATATATATATATATATATATATATATATATATAAGTATATATATATATATATATATATATATATATATATATATATATATATATATATATAAGTATATATATATATATATATATATATATATATATATATATATATATATATATATATATATATATATATATATATATATATATATATATATATATATATATATATATATATATATATACACACATATAAATTAGTAGAAAATCACTTAGCAAAATTTTTTCTCATTTAACACTGTGACATTTAACACAGTGTTAAATAAGAAAAAATTTTGCTAAGTGATTTTCTACTAATTTGTAATTGCTCTGTTCTTTTAAGAACATTGAGCACTCTTTTTGTAGAATACATTTTAAATTGTTTATATATATATATATATATATATATATATATATATATATATATATATATATATATATATATATATATATATATATATATATATATATATATATATATATACACATATACTCTTGCATTGTAGTCAAAAAGAGTTCCCCATAACTGTAGTTTTAAAGAGCGCGTTAATAAACCAGACCAGAAAAAGATTAAAAACTTAATTTTTTTTTTTTTAAATGATAGACTGCCTGCCCAAACCAAACCCTCAGTCGATGTAGCAGCACTCCCTTGCGAGTCAGGCTATTTGTCAGTCGTTGTAGCATCACTCCTTTGCGAGTCAGGCTATTTGTCAGTCGATGTAGCAGCACTCCTTTGCGAGTCAGGCTATTTGTCAGTTGATGTAGCAGCACTCCGTTGCGAGTCAGGCTATAAGATAGTCGATGTAGAAACACTCCCTTGTAGCAGCAGGCTATAAGATAGTCGATGTAGCAACATTTATGCATGTTTTAAAAATGTTTTTTAATAAAACAAAAACACCACTTATTAAAAAAAACTTTCTAGTCGTTATTATTGCGGTTTTTTAAAATTTTTTTAAAAAACAATAAAATTTAATGTACTTCTACATTAATTTAATTGCTTTGACATTTCGACGACAATCAAATACAGCTTAAGTGACGAGGTAATTAAAATTGTAGTCAAAAGAGACTTTTTTTACATTAAAAGACTCTTTTGACTACACTCTAAGGATATATATATATATATATATATATATATATATATATATATATATATATATATATATATATATATATATATATATATATATATATATATATATATATATATATATATATATATATATATATATATATATATATATATATATATATATACATATATATCCAACCTAAAAAACATTCATGTATTTAACTTTTTTTAAAAAGTTAAATACATGAATTTTATAAAGAAAAAATTTATGATTTGCACAGACTTTTTTTCACTGGCATATATTGACTTATGGAAGTGTAGAATTTGCAAGATTTATTTTTCTATTGGGACATTTAAAAATTATTCTAAGTTTATAGTTTTTGTATTTAAGGTTTTTAGATCAAGTTTCATCACTGTTAAAAATGCAAAAAAAAAATATTTTAAAATAGTAAATATATCATAAAGTTTAAAATGGTATAAATACATAGACATTAGGATGTTGAGATTTTTAAAAAACAACCAAATATTTAATAACTTAATAATTTTTTAGCTGCTAATTTAAAAAAAAGTTTTCTTTCAGTTTTTAAAACTGTTTTTATTTTTGTTGTTGTTTTGTTTTTAGTTTTTTATCAACTGGTACAATTCATCCAGTGATCATCAAACTTGGCTTACAATATGCAAAAGGCATTATATCTGGTTCTAATGCTCGCTGCATTGCTTTACTTTATGCATTTAAACAGGTATAAAACATAATTTTTTATGTTAATTTATGGAAACAAGTATTTTTTTAAAGAAGTACTAAAAATATTTTTTTGAGATTATTATTTTTAGAGATTCAAAAATTAAGATCAATTTATATTTTTAAATATTTTTGAAAGTATTTTTTTGATTTAATAACAAAATCAATTATAGCATTATATTACCATAATATACTTATAATACCCTAAAAGTGTGCATAATTTTATATAGTAAGCGTTGATCACACAAAAAATATGCCTCCCGCCAAATAGTTAACTTTTATGAAAATTTTTTATCTTTATCACTTATCAATTTTCAAGACTCCTCAATTTTCAAGACAGAATTTTAGTTTTTTAAATTAATTTATTTTTTTTAGAAAACCATTTTAGCATTACCAATAAATAAAATATTTAAAAAAAAGTACTGTTACAGATTTATTATGTCAAAGATGGGTCGTTTCCGTATCATAAAATCTCCAACTACTATAGTTTTTATTAGTATTATATTCTTAGTTTTGAATAATAATGGTCTTATGTGTTATTACTTTTATAAAAGAACGGACGTCATGGAAACGTTGATGTGATTCTTAAAAACGTTTAATCACTAAAAACCTCAAAAGTCATACAAAAAAAAATCTTAAATTTTGTGGTTTAAAAGTTGCATTAGTTATTGACTGATAATAATATAATGATAAGTTTGTTATTCTTTAACTGTTAATGATCTAACTTATGGTATTTGTTTTATTTTTATTTTACATTTTAAAAAATGATGTTGAAGTGCCTAATAAAACATTTGTTATTTTTAAGGAGTATTGAATTGTTATTATAAAAAACTATAAAACAACAATAAAACAAACTGCAAAGTTGTTTTGACAATATAAAGAGCTTGTGTTAATGTTGAACAACTTCGTGACCATGTTTTATAACATTAATAACATTAAATGCATTAAAAAAAAAAACAAAGTAAATAAATAGAATTGATTTGATTAATAAGTTAAAACATTATCGCCACTTTTTCATTTTAACAAATCACAGTTTGAAACAAGTAAGATCAAAGCAAAAAAACACTAGATACGTTTTTTATAATTTATTGTTTTCTGATTTAGTGTACTATTAAAAGTGTAAGTATAACTCATTTTTTCATTTAAATGATTTTTAAGTTGATGTTTTTATTCAATTTTTTCATTCAAATTGTTTTGCAATTTTATCATTCAAATTGTTTTGTAAAAGAAAAAAATTTGGTCTAATAAATTGAATTATATTTCCCTTAAGTAAAAAATATATGCTTAAATTATTTAAAAAAAAAATTTTTTTTTACACGAAAGTAAAATAATTTTTTTTTTTTAGAAATAATCACTGGTTTAATGTTTGCAATAGAATGTTTCTACTTTTAAAATTATTTTCAAGAAACAAAAAATAATTAACTATTCAAAATGTTTACGATTTAAATAGAACTTTCTTCCTTTCTTGCACTGTTCTATATATTGTTACTGTAGCTAGATATACATTTAACTTTCAGGAATGATCATTATGCCATTGTGTATTACGGAAGCCACTGTAATTAAATTATGGCGCTCCAATTAAATTATTGAGCGTTAAATTTCAAATTTTTTCAAATTTTGGTTGCAAATGTATTTGAATAATGGAATTTTAGAAGATTAAAATTTCTTATTAAAAAAAATTCCTAAAAACAACTTGCGTATTTATAGAAAATGTTTAATTTTGATATTGTTTTAAATAAAATGAAAATATAAAAATATGGTATTGTGTTTTTTATATTCGAGATTTCTTGTTATAATAATTTTTAGTTATAAGTTTATATTATGTGTAAACAACATAAAAACATTTTTATAACTAACTTTTGTGAGTCTTTGATTAAATTAAGTAAATTTAATATAGTTGAGTAATGAATAGTTATATAAAATTATATAAACTTTAACAAATTATTATATAATAGTATAATAGTGGAGTAACTGTAAATTACTGTAGTAACGTAACTGGTTGTTTTGATTTAGTTTAAAGGTAAATTTACTGCGATGTACTTTATCTATTCAGTAAATCAAACTAAATATAACTTTAAAATGTTATTGACTTCCACGCAGAGATTTAAAGTAATTAAGATTCAAAAGGGCTTTTATGTTGAATAAAAATCTTCGCGCTAGAGAGCAAGTGATCATACTTTTATAAGAGAAAAGAAAAAAATTAATAATAAAAAACTCAGACAAGAATAGCCCAAACTAATGCTATATTAGAAAAAATAAAAAAGCAGGGCTCGAAAAAAGCGTATCGCGATTCACTATCGCAATATGCTTAATTTGAGCCTTGCCTCATTTAACTAAGCACCTAAAAAAAAAAATCTTTAGAAACTTCATGTCTTCTCAGATTATCATCAATTATCATTATTTACTGACATCTCATTAAAACCAAATATATATTCCATTGCAATGTTAGCATCTGCTACAGTTGTCTCTATTTATTTTGCTTGTCATATTCTTACTCCTGATTTCATTCTCTTTCTTTATAAATCTTTTGATTGTCATTGTATGAAATGCTGTTGTTATATTTGGGCTAGTTCTTGTAATGAGGCCCTCTATCTTTTAAACAAAGTTGAAAAACACATTATAAATGTTACTGTGATAACACCCAACTTAATTAGTGGTTTCTTACAGCTTTGTTGAATATTAATTTGTTAAAAAAAAAGTCTATTCTGAACTTTCTCATTGTTTTAAAGTTATGTCCTTTTTTTATGTGATTTTTTTAAAATACTTTAAGAAACATTAACACAAATATTTTTATGTTGTTTGTACAACTAGTTAGTTAAACTAATAATAACTTAAGTAATAGTTTGTACACTGAAAAATTTATAGAAATATTTGTAAAATATTATCTGCTCAATTGAATGAAACAAATGCTCAACAAAATTTTGCTAAAAAATCCGATACTATCATTTTATTTTTCATCATTCTGATTACGTCATTCTGGTTACATTCTGTTACATCCTTTCTTATTTGTTCTTTGCGCTCCAAAATGTTAATTATACTTAATCAATTATCAATAATGATTTTTATTTATATATAATTTTTATTGTTTATATATATATATATTTTATATTGTTTGCATACATGTTTATATATTTTATTGTTTATATATATATATATTTTATTGTTTATATATATATATATATATATATATATATATATATATATATATATATATATGTTTTATTGTTTATATATGTATATATATACATTTTTTATATATACATTTTTTATATATATAATTTTTATATATATAATTTTTTGTTTATATATATATATATATATATATATATATATATATATATATATATATATATATATATATATATATATATTTATATATATATATATATATATATATATATATATATATATATATATATATCAAAATCAAGATGTAGAAGCATACTGGCAACATACATACTGGCAAGTTATTTGTAATTATTAAACTCATATTTCATCATGCATTCCAGTACTAATTGACCGATTACTAAAGAACTGGTAATACATTTATCCATGTCAAATACAAGATTTGCTCTTGTTTATATAATGCAGAAATTAAAAAAAAAATTGTTGTGATATCCAGAAAGAAAGATTTAGTTGATAAAGTCAGTATTCTCTATTTTTTTTGATAATGCATTTTTGCAATGCTACTCTTACCTGATGGTTCTCATAGCACAGGCGGTGTGAAAGATTGCTTCTTTTAAAGAATTTTTTTGGTTGTCTTTTTTTATTGATAATTGTATTGCACCTGTTTTAGATTTAAAACTATATACCTTACATTACATTTTTACAGTATATACATTATATATACATTACATTTCATACAAACATTATGATCCGATGGCGATCACAAATAATACCGAATGTGTATTATAACTTATATTTTTAAGATCTTAACCGTTTTTACATTAACTATATTACTTATATTCTTTTTATTTTTGTATCTCAAAAACAACAACAACAAAACTCTATTTATAACATATATACTAAATTTCGTTCAATAACAAAAAAACACTATTGTTTTAATAGTCGCCACAAAATTGTTATTTAGTTTGTTATAGCCATATTGGCGCTATTTACTGGTTATATTGATCGTGGTATCGGAATGTTGTTTTTTTTTTTATGCTAATTCAATTTTCTTCCAATCACATTATACTATATACAAACATTATAGCTATAAACATTACATTACACACAAATATTACATTATTTAAGGAATTTTTATAAACATAATTCCTTAAATGATGAATATATATTTTTTTATAAATAATGAAAATATTTTTTTAGAGTACTATAGCATTGTTTCTACATAAGTTTCCATTAAAGTTTTCTTTCGTTTCTTTCGTTTAATTCGTTGATGGATATTTTTAAAATTGATTGCAAATATCATAGTGATTATTTTTTCTATTCTGTTTGAAATTTCAAAAGTATTATGATTTGGAAAACTTTTTTAGTTTGTCCAATATTTAAGAAGACAAACTTACCTTTAACCACAGACTTATTTCTATGAAATAAATTGTGTTAAAGTTATAGAATCAATGAATGCAGAAAGTAATACAATTTATTTCTTAATCAATAGGTTTATTTCTGTGCATCAAAGTGATTTTTTAAAGCATAGATCAACATGTACATAAATATTGATGACCTTAAATGAGTGGACCACTGCTGGTAATAACAAAAAATTATAATCATTTATGTAGACATTTAGAAAGTCTTTGATACTGTCTCACCCTAACTTAATGTTCATGTTGCACCGTTATGGCGTTAAGTATAAATTACTAAATTGAATTTCAAAATTCTTAATGTTAAAATTTTATTTTGTTTGTATAAATAATTCAAGTTCAAACAACATTCTCCTATAGATCATCTCCTAAAGATTATCTCCTATTGCTTTTATTTTAAGTTTATCTAAATAATTTAATTTCCTGGTATGAGAGTGTCATCAAGATGTTTGCAGACAACAGCAAGTTATATTAAGTGAAAAAGTGGAAAATATATCAAGTGATGATATATCAAGATGTATTAAGTGATAATGTACACATTACCATTACTTTTTAAAAAAATTTCAGAACAGTCAAATAAATGTCAACTCAATATATCTACCATAACTCAATATATCTACCATAAATGTTTTCATCTATTCTATAAAAAAGAATAGTTTACTTGTACATTTGTATTCATTGAACATCGATATTGAATCTGACAATTCAATCCGGGACATTGGCATAGTTGTCTCTGATATGAAATTTTCTATTCACAGTTTTTTTATTGCAGGTAAACGAAATGTTTGTGCTTAGTTACTTTTAAAGTCATTTATCAGTAATGATCCTTAAACTTTAATAAGAATCAACAAAGTTTAGTTTGACCTACTTTAAAATCTCCAGTGTAGAATCCCTATATTTTTAAATATATATATATATATATATATATATATATATATATATATATATATATATATATATATATATATATAAATATATATATATATATATATATATATATACATATATATATATACACTGAGTAGAAAGGGCCAATTATACAAGTATTATCTGTAAAAAATATTCCTTATAAAGGTTATCCTTCAAGACTTATTATCTTTAAACTTGACTCTCTTGAATGCCAATGAATAATAAATGAATAAAGTTCAACATTTTAATGATCTATAAAGTTATAAATGGTTGGCTAATGTTTTTAATATATATGAGGCTAAACCTATACCTAGCAAAATTAGGCTTTTTTCAAATCTTGATTATGAGATTAAGTTTGGACATGGTAAAACTAGCCAGGAATACTAGTTGGCTTTTTTTAAGTTTGAACATTGAATTTTTAATTCAACATTTAATTGTTAATTGTAAATAATCTTAGTTTAAATTTTTTTTTAAAATTTTTAAGTTTAAATAATTGCTAATGTTTGAATATTGGTACCGGTAGCATTTGTTACACTAGCTTTTATTAATACATGAACCATATAATTATGCATTCTTTTTGTTACAGCTTTTTCAGGGGTGGACGCAATTTTATACTCTACTTGAGAATACAGGTACAAGATAATATAGGTCATTGACTATCTATGTACTGAAGGTTATAAGATAGCATCGATTTATTTGGGGTGTACCTGATTTTTTTTTCAATTAGTCAGGTAAAAACAAATGAAAAGACAGTTATTTTTGTTTTTGCCTCAAATTTTTCCTTAATTTATTCAAAAAAATTGACCTTAATTGTTAGCTTAATACTATGTCAAGTTGTTGTTTTAAATTTAACTGTTTATTTATTTAATCCTGAAAGATCACAAAATTGGTGAAATTTTTAATAAATGTATTATTTACACACTTGTCTCCCATACTCCCAAAAAGGTTTCTAGTAGTTTTAATTCTACTTCTAGGTGATAAATGATTACACTGTACCACCTTCTAAAGAGCTTGCCAGAGATCTAGAGATGAAAATTAAACCTTGTATCAGGTATCCTTGAAATTTATATTGTTACATCTAAGCAAGGTGTATTGACATTAGAGTAATAGTAGAAAACGACCAGGGTTGACATATGGCCGGGGCCAGGTTTGATAAAATATAATTGGGGCTGGGTTTATGACCAGGGCTAAATAAACATTTATACATCCTAAATTATAATTTTTTAATTCAAAATTCATGTTATATTTTGTATGTATATATGCATAGATAAACATCATTATGATCAAAATGATCATCGTAATCCTCATTACCATCATCATCATCATCATCATCATCATCATCATCATCATCATCATCATCATCATCATCATCATCATCATCATCATCATCATCATCATCATCATCATCATCATCATCATCATTATCATCATCATCATTATCATCATCATCATTATCATCATCATCATCATTATCAACATCATCATCATCATCATCATCATCATCATCATCATCATCATCATCTTTTTTGGCAAATACTACAACATATAAACACTAAACTTTATATAAATATGAAAGGATATTGTATGCCAGCATCTAAATAAATAGCAAACATATATGTTTATAAGTAAATATGTATGCATAAAGCGCATCTTGTAAGCTTTTATTCCTTCTGGGCTAAAAGTTTGGAAGCTTTTATTGCTACTTTTCAATTTTGAGTCAAGCCTCATTCTACTCCACATTTTTCACCATCTTGAGCAGTTGCTTTACTAATCATTTAGTTTATCTTTTACAAGAACATCTCTCTTAAGAACAAATGTCCTTTTATTATTCCAAAAAGCCAATGTAAAAAGATCTTGTCTGATGTTAAGCTCTGTTATTTTCAGTTTACTAAATACTGTATCTTATCTCAAATGTTAGGTTCTAGAGACTTTTGGTTCTTCAACAATCTCATTAACTAAAGTAAGTCTAACATTTAATCTTATTAATTGTTATTAAATATAATATTTAATAACATTTAATTTTTAAAAAGTGCTAAATAAGTGGTTCCAATTTTTCAAAACTCTAGAAAACACTTCGACCTCTTTAAGATTAGTCATCACTCTGTTATTAGTTTCTTTATATACAGGTTTTGAGATTATTAAATTATTTCTTACTAACTGCAGTAATAAAGTTATTCTTGAAGATCTACACTCTTCTTTATTTAAAGTAACTTTAAGGGTACCATAAGGTATCTTGTGGTACCCTTAAGTCTTTGCTCCTGTATTGTTTCTTATCTACAAATCAATCTTCATGAAAATTAAACATCTAAAGTGGCTAAATTTGTTTATGGCTTAAATTTATACACTTGTCTTGATAAAAAATCTTCACTTTTTAATTGCTTAGAACAAGCAGCTAATTTTTAATCTGGTTTCTTTTCTGTAACAGCCTAAGGCTTGCTGTGGCTTATGGGTTTAAATTCTGGACCTAAAATCTGCAATTTTTGTTAGACAACAAAACTCATTTATATACTGCAAAAAAATATTGCAATAATGTTGGTATTCCTATATTGATGATTAACAACCATAGTACTCTCAGACAAAGTCTAAAAGCACTTTGTAAATGTAATGTGGTTGTGGTGTAGTGGTAAAGCACTTGCATCTTAAGCGAGAAGTACCGAGTTCAATCCCCACCATGTCCTGGTAGTACTGTGCTCAACTTGTTTCTCTGCGCAGCAGCCTTGGTTGTCAAGGTTTGTGTTTCGGAGTTATATAGTTGAGAGAGGGTTACAAACACAATTAAGTAGCCTCCTCGTCTGTAGCGGTGTTTTCAGCCTTAGGGAGGTGAATTAACATTAAAAAAAACAAAATAATAATAAGTTAGATCTGCTTTATCTGCCAAGCCTGAGTCATTCTCCCATTGTTGTAAGGTTGCATTTCTTTCTTTTTTCTACAAATACAATCATGGTCAATGCTTAAACAAGCTATTATCTCCATTACGATAAACCAAAAATTATTCTTGCTAGTTTCTTATTCAACAAGTTGCATCCTTTTACTTTATCTATCCATTCATGCTATAAAAAATTTGATTAATCCAGTTTTTTTCTTTGCACATCAAAAAAACCTTATAACAATTAGCCATCTTCATGTTTTTCTTTTATATACAACCTACAACCTTTCAAGTCTTCAGTTAACCATTTCCTAGTATTTTTACTTATTCTCTATTTTAAAGTAGCTCATAACTTAATAGTGGTTGCTTACAATCTTGTTGGAAGTAAATTAGAATTTAAAAATATATAAATATATGCCAGTATTTAATAAATAGTAAATGTAAGAATAAAGTTATAAAAATTATAAACTTTTTTCTAGCCCTGGCTATCAACCCCTGCTAAATCTCTATAGTTTAGCTGGGGTTGGGGAAGGGTTTAAAAAAAGTCTCATTTTTAGTCGGGGCCCCGGTCACTTACTAGGTAATTGCTTTTGAGGAAATTTTTGAATTTCAATAAACTACCACTTGAAATGTGGGACATTAGTGTTAAAACTTTGGGAAAAAAAAATAGCATGCCTCCCTAGAGTCAATTTAGTTAAAAAAAATGGTCAAAAAAATGCCTAAAATGACTAAGTTCAAATTACTTGGGGTAGGTGAACTGACTTTTTTTTTAATATAGGTATAACTGATTTTTTTTTAATATAGGTATTGATCTATGCTTTCAAAAAAAAAAGGATAGTTAGAATTTGACCATTTTATTGTATATCATTGAATACCTATTATCATCTCATCAAATACCTATTATCATATCATCAAATAGCTATTATCATATCATCAAATAGCTATTATCATCTCATCAAATACCTATTATCATATCATCAAATACCTATTATCCTATTATCGAAGTTTTGTTACAGATATAGAGAGAAATTTAAGAATTTACAGTTTTCTTTAATTTACAGGTATGTTAGAACTAATTGTTTTTCTTTCTTTTAAAGTACAGTAATATTTAATTAAACATTTCTTTATTTTTGAAAGTACAATTTATTTATATACTTATACAGGTTATATGATTTATGGTATTTTAGGTTTTATGACATATCAGAGCTGAAAATTGCTCACTTTTGTAATGATGTGACACAAAGAAAGAAATCTGAGAACCAAAGAATTTTTACATAAAAAACTCAAAGACATATTTGAAACTCCTGATTTTCATTATGATTCTAATGATTTTGTCTTATCCTAAAGATTTTATTAGAATAAGACAAAAGAAACTATCGAGTGTGCTGCAGTTAAGTCTCTTAATTTTTGCAAAGAAAATATTAAAGTGAAAAAGTTTTAAGAGACGATAGAAAAGAACTAGCTGGGCTAGTTGTTGCTTATTTGTCTTCTGAAGATGTAAAAATGCAGTATTTCTTGGAAAAAGCCATATATTATCTAAAATTGAAACTGCTTTCTAATCAGATTAAATTTGTTAAAGAAGATAAACTAATTTTAGAAAAAATAATATTGTGGCAGAATTCATACCATGTTTTTATGCAAAATGGTATTAGCAATTTGACAAGGCTATCAAAACTTTATATCTAGATATTTTATCAATACATAAAATACATTATTAGAAAAATGTTTGTGCCAAACCACATGCAATTGAAGTAGTATTGAAATCATTTTACATTCCTAGTATCTAGATTCTAGACCTCTTTCTTTGTTAGATAAAGATGTTTCTAATAAAGAAAATAGTAAGGTTGCTTCTGCTACGCTTCAATATGACATGCCAAACTCTGATTATTTTAAAATTGACAAAAAATTGCTCATTTGTGTGGACAACAAGATTAGAATTGAAAAGAGAGTTTACAATGATCAACCATATGTGTTTTTCATCACTAGTAAATCAATTTTACTTGATGTTTGATAGAATTGAGTTGGATAAATAAAGGATTAGAAACTGGCTCAGCCTCAAACCTCAGTATTGATGCAATCAAGATTTTACTAAATCTCTAGTTTTTGTAAATGATACTGCTGGTCATTAGTTTTTGTAAATGATACTGCTGGTCATTAGTTTTTGTAAATGATGGTCATTTATTGTATCTTTTTGTTCACAGATGCAATAAAGAAGAAGAAATTCAGAACAGACTGCTTACTGTTAATAAAGCTAGATTTGCTACAAAAAGGCTGGGAAACAAATCTTTTAATTCATCTAAAAAAAGGTTGATTGACTCACTTTCTACCATGGCAAAAAAGATTTAAAAATGATAATTAAACGCCTTTATTTTTTACAAATTTTAATATTATTTTAAATAATTATTAATTATAAATCTTCATTTATAAAAAAAATTGTATTGTTTTATTATAATTATAATTCGCGGCAAAATAATTTTTCTTTTTTTTTAATTTCTAACACTATTTAACACAATAACAAAAAAAGTATATATTCTTCCTTATATACCCTTTTTATTTGAAAATATAGATTTTATAAAAAATATAGTTAAATATAAAATATAGTGTTAAAATTATTAATATTATTATTAAAATCAGTTCAAAATTTTTATTTTATCACCTCCCCCAAGCCTTTTGAATTGTTGTCATTGTTGGCACTTTTTTGACCATTTTTTTTAACTTAATAGACTCTGGGAGAGGGATATAAGTGGTCCAATCATGTTAATTTTCATATTTGAAACTATATTTATTAACAAAAATATACAGATGCTTAGGTGCCTAAAAAAAAAGAAAAAAAGAAATAAGAGTTATTTTTACAGGTTTAAATTGACAATTTTGGTTTTTAATTCTAGCATATACTTTCATATAACAGTTTATTTTTCTTTTTTACAAGTGCCTGATGTTACCACGGGTTACAAGTACTTGCTGTTGTAGCTAACAGTACAATTGTTAAAATTATTTTTCATATTTTAAATTATCAAAGTTGTGTTTGTTCCTAATAGACATTGATTTTTGAGTGCTTTAGTTCACAAAAATTTCAATGATTTATGATTTCAAAGAA